CAAGGGATGGAGGCGGGGCGGGGCCAAGGGATGGAGGCGGGGCGGGGGCGGGGTAGTTTCCTCCCAGGATCCCACCCCTCACGCGGTTCTATGTTTCAGGCTGGTGTCCATCCACAAGGGCGGCTGGAAGACCTTTGATGTGACCGAGGCTGTGAACTTCTGGCAGCAGCTGAGACGGCCCCGGCAGCCCCTGATGCTGAAGGTGTCCGTGCTGAGGGAGCATCTGGGCCCCGGGGCCTCGGACGCCCACAAGTTGGTCCGCTTCTCCGCGCAGGGGGCACAGGGCGCTGAGCAGAGGGAGCCTCAGCTGGAGTTGCACACGCTGGACCTCAAGGACTATGGGTATGCTGCGGCTGGGAGGCCAGGGACACAGCAGATGGCGTGGTCCGGGCCTACCATCTCAGGGACTGGCTAGGGGGCGGCTGTGCAGACTACCCAGGATAAGACCGATTCCTATATGTTGGAGTTTCTAACGATAGAAATTGTATTATTCAAATGTTTATTTATTTATTTACTTACTTATTCATTCATTCTGGGGATTGAACTCAGGGGAGGTTTATGACTGAGCTACACTCCAGTCTTTTTTTTCCCCCAATATTTTTATTAGTTGTTGATGGACGTTTGTTTTATTTACTTATTTATATGTGGTGCTGAGAATCGAATCCAGTGCCTCACACATGCTATCAAGTGCTTTACCACTCAGCCACAACCCCAGCCCCACTCCCAGTCTTTTTTATTTATATTTAAGTCAGAGTATTGCTAAGTTGCTGAGGGTCTCTCTAAGTCTCTGAGGTCTCAAATTTGTGATTCTCCACCCTCAACCTCCTCAGTGGCTGGGATAACAGGCATGGGCCATGGCACCTGACTTATGAAAACATTTTGTTGAAAAATGATGCCATTGAATCATACACATTATTATAATCATCTATTTTCACTTTTGCCATCATGATTAAGTCTTTGAAAAATATTAACTCTAGCTGTTAGCAAGGCTGAATTCTTTTTCTCATGGGACAGTTTAGCTATTTGGAGCAGACAAGGGCAGCATAGTATAGTCAGCTTTCTGGATCCGTGGCTTTCACATCTGTGGATTCAACCAATCACAGATAAAAAATATTTAGGGGAAAAACCCTCATCTTACTGAACACGAAGAGCCTTTTTTTCTTGTCATTATTCCCCAGACAATGCAGTGTAACAACTATGTACAAAGCATCTACATTGTATTAAGTATGATAAGTAATCCAGACATGATCTTAAGTATATGGGAAGATATGCATAGTATACAAATTCTACCATATTTTATACAAGGGACTTGAGCAGTGCAGATTTGGGTAGCCAAGGGGGTCCTGGAACTAATCCCTCATGGATACTCTAAATTGAGGATGACTATATAGTAGTTAAGACCAAGCCCTTTGGAATCAGACAGTTGAAGTTCCATCTAGTTCTGCCTTCCACTGGCTTCATGTCCTCTGGCTTGTCCTCCACTGAACATCTTTGGGCTTCATTGTTCTCAAGTGTAATAGGGAAACCCTCTTCAAGTTTCATTTGGATGAAATGTAGGTATCACCTGATAATACACATGGCATACCTAGGTCAATGTCTAGCATATTAGGAGACTATTAATAAATAGTAGGTCACTTTATATTCTGAATGTTTATTCATTTGTCTTCTATTACAAGTACCAAGTTTTTTTTAATGTAATAAAAGATGGATTTAAATCTCCTTTCAGATTCTCCACTAAGCTGCCCACTGGACCTCCTTATCTCGGCCCTTTGGCTGACCTCTGACCCTATCTCTCCTTGCCCCCACAGAGCTCAAGGCAATTGTGACCCTGAGGCACCAGTGACCGAGGGTACTCGCTGCTGCCGCAGGCAGGCATACTTGGACCTTGAGAAGACGAAGTGGGCTGACAACTGGGTCGTGGAGCCCCCTGGTTTCTTGGTCTATGAGTGTGCAGGCAGCTGTCTGCAGCTCCCAGAGCGCCTGGCCAACAAGTGGCCATTTCTCGGACCAAGACAGTGCATCGCCTCAGAAACAACCTCACTGCCCGTGATTGTGAACGTCAAAGAAGGAAGCAGGACCAGGCTCCAGGTGGTCAGCCTGCCCAACATGAGGGTGCAGGAGTGCAGCTGTGTCTCAGATGGGGCTCCTGTATCAAGGGGCCTCCAGCCATAGGCTCTTGAGTATAGCAGTATAGCCACTTGAGGCCTCTGCAGAAGCAGGTCTTAACGTAGATCTTAATTTTACACTTAGCAATCTACCCTTGTCCCAGTTTAGTGCCTCCATGTTATCTTTGCCCTGTGTTCTTCCAGTTCCTGTCCTTCTTGTCTATCACCCATCCTAAGCACTTACATGAATAAATAATGCAGTTCCAGATGCTGTATTCCAGTAGGAGACCCTGGCCTACTTAGTAGAGGATGTGGCTGAGCAATGAACAGATTGTCAGCTCAAAGTTTCTATTCCCTGGAAAATTCTCAACTGAGTAGGGAATAAACCCTATAATGAGAGCTGGGGAAATAGAACTGATTTACTCTAAAATACCTGATGAATTAGAACAATTTAAAAATCCCTGTTTCTCCTGCACAAGGAGGTAGCTGAAAAACAACTCCTTTTCCCCTAAATACTGACCTATTTTTGTAAAGGTACCTAGGTCCCTGTTTCCCTGAGAGGGTGATGAAGGAGGGAGGATGAAGGGTTTCAGGCAAGGGGCTGTAGACAGGGAATTAGGACTCCTGATTTTTGATTCTGATGGGGCTACAAGCTGGGACCTCCAGCAAATGCAGAAGACTTTGGGTTCCTGTGTCCTCTTAAAAAGGAGGAGTGGGCTTCAGCTCTCAGACTTCTTTGCCCCAGGGATCTGACAGTCCCTCACACTATCTTCTACTCCACAGACATTGCCTGTGTGTATTTAGGTGATCCCCCACTGTTTTAGAGAACTTATCACCAGAGACCACATGTATTTACATATTGCTGTTCTTATATTTAGCAAAACCAATTAAATGTAGATAATATGAAGAAATAAAATGAAAGTGATGTTTCACTCTATGTCGCTATATTTAATTTCTAGTACTCTACTCTTTCTTTAAGAGAGAAGGAAGTGGAAGCAGACCCTCATCGTTATACAAAACACATGTATGAATATGTGAGAAAAAAAGAAAAAAAAAGAATAGCATTACCTTAGATTAGGTAGAGAGAAGTGATGGGAGGGGAGGGGAAGGGTTGGGGAGATAGGAAGGATAGTCAAATGAAATAGATATTATTACTGTGTGTATTTATGTGACTGCACGACCAATATGATTCTGCCTACTCAGAAAAATGAGAAATTATATCCCATCTGATTCAAATGTATGATATGAACAAAAAATTAAAAAAAAGATTTAGCTATAAAAAAGAAAAAAGAGAGAAGGAAGTGAATATGAGGGAAGGAGAGCAATGTAATGATTGCTCTCAATCATTAAAGAAAGGGGGTGGCCAAGGACTCTCTCAACTTCTAGGGGCATTGAAGACTATAATAACTAAAGTTAGTTTAGGCTTTCATTTATGATTTTTATATTTTCCCACACAAATCTCATTTCAAAAATAGTATTGTGAATAATCATATATTTCTTCTTTTTTAAAAAAATGCTTCCTAGTTATACATGGACACAATATCTTAATTTTGTTATTTATTTTTCTCTGGTGCTGAGGATCAAACCCAGTGCCTCACAAGTGCAAGGCAAGTGCTCTGCCACTGAGCCACAACCCCAGCCCTATTCCTTCTTTTTGTAAAGCACTTTAAACTCTGCAAAGATGGTTATGGGGTCCAGTGGGGTGTAGTGTTGAGGTAAGCAAGCTTATATTTATTGAGCATTCATGAAGAACCAGGGATCCAGGCTATGTCACATATATTAAATCACTTAAATTTTTGCAGCTATTCTTTGAATTAAGTATTCTTATTCCCGTTTTCAGATATAGAAACTGAGGCCAAAGCAATGCAAATCTGTTGAATTTCCACTCCATAGAATGGGTTATATACTCATTCCCACTCCAGTTCCCAATAAGTCGGCTTTACTGATGACACAGACATTGGGTTCAAATATCATTTGGAAGCTGTCATATCTGGCATTTTCCCTAAATTTACCTTTCTCATTCACTGGGGTTTTCTTATGCCCAACTATGGAGAAAGTTATACTTTAAGTTCATGGACTATATCTTACCACAAAGCTAATAAATATCAACTGAATAGTAGAAGAAAAAAAATTTTTCTGAGGACAGCCAGGATTTGAGGACATGGCAAGAGTATTATAGAAAGTAGGGGAAGAACAGTTGGCTCTGATTTATCAATGGCTAGATCATCTCCATAAGATATCAGAATGAAGCCTTTATATGTGGGCATTGTAAGTACCATATGGCAATGGTTGCTTTGTCTGTAAGAGGGATATGATTATCTTGTAAAGAATTCTACCTGTTATTCAGTGATGCATCTGTGGCTCTGAAGTCTATGGTCTCCCAGCCAGTAACATATAATCAGTGTTAAGGATGGACCTGCTCATGCCAGCTTGAATGAGGCAGGAGGATCACAAGTTTGAGACCAGCCTTGGCAAATTAGCAATACCCTCAGCAACATAGTAAGACCCTGTCTCAAAAAAAAAAAAAAAATTAAAAGGATTGTGGGTGTAGCTCAGTGGTATAGTACCCCAGGGTTTAATTCCCAGTACCAAAATAATTCGTTTTAAAAATACAGGAGAGATTTGGCTGGGGATGTGGCTCAAGTGGTAGCGTGCTCGCCTAGCATGCGTGCGGCCCCGGTTCGATCCTCAGCACCACATACAAAGATGTTGTTGTGTCCACCGAAAACTAAAAAATAAATATTAAAAAAAATACAGGAGATGGCTTCATTTCAATGTAAATAAAGATGTGCTCATTAGCTCAGGGAGACAGTGTGGTAGACAGAAGCTTCTCTCTAAAGACATCCATACCCTAATCCTTAGAACTGGTGAATATGTTATGTTACATGGCAAAAGGGACTTTGCAGATGTAATCAAGATCACAAATATTAAAATAGGGAGATTATCATGGATTATCCAGGTGTACTGAATCTAATCACATGAGCCCTTTAAAATCAGAAAATGTTCTCTGGCTAGAAGCAGGAGAGATGAGATAGAAGGGAGAGGTCAAAGATATTTGAAACATGAGAAAGACTCAGCCTACCATTGTTGGATTGAACATGAAAGGGACCATGATCTTGGGAATATGAGTGGCCTCTAGGAGGACTGAGGGCTCTGGGCTGATAGCAAGCAAGGAAAAAAGACCTGAGTCCTACAACCGCATGGAACTAAATTTTCCCAGCACCTGAATGAGTCTGGAGGCAAAAATTTTCCCAGAGCCTCCAGGTAAGAGTCCAAGTCAGCTGACATTTTTATTTGATTTTGTGGAACCTGCAACAGAGACACCAGCTGAGCCTACCGAGACTTCTAACCTACAAATTGTGACAGTAAATTATTTTGTCTTAGAGGCTAAATATGTGGTGCATTATTACAGCCACAATAGGAAAAGAACACAAAAGTGAGACGGATCCCATTATAAGTGGTACATAGTCAGCAACAAGGTGCAGGCCTATAATCCTAGCTAAAAGGGAGGCTCAGGCAGGAGGATCAAAAGTTCAAGGCCATCCTGGATAACTCAGTGAGAACCTGTCTCAAAATGAAAAGAGAAAAGGACAGGGGTTGTAGCTCAATGGTAAAGTGCCTCTGGGATTAATCCTCAGTACCAAAAAAAAAAAAAAGAAAAAGAAAATTGCCACCAAGAACTTAAAGAAGAAGGAAGCTGTGGAGGAGGTGGAGATTGGAAGAGATGCTCCAGCTAATTTGAACGCTATTGAGGAAAATGGGGAGCAGGAGGTGACAATAAGGTAGAACATTAAGAGAAAGAAAGTGGGGAGGAGGAGGAGGAAGAAGAGGGCCGTGGTGGGGAAGATGATGGAGATGAAGATGAGAAGGCTGAGGCTGCTAAGGACAAACAGTACAAGATGATGATGACGACAATGTGGATCCAGGATGCAGATGAATGAGGATGACTAGACGGCAAAACTTAAAAATAGTGGGCTGTGTTGGTTGGTTAGTGGCAGAGCGCTTGCCTAGCACATGTGAGGCACTGGTTTGATTCTCAGCACCGCATATAAATAAAATAATTAAATACATAAAGGCCCTTCAACAACTAAAAAATATATATATATTTAAAAAAAACCTTAAAAATGGCTACCTGTGACCTATTCACCCTCTACCTCCTTCTCAGACTCTATAAACACAGTCACCTTCAAGTAGAGAGTCCCTCTTGCCCAGAGGGCAGAACCATCCACAGATGGCACCTGCTGTCTATCACCCAACCAAAACCACAACATGAATTTGCAACAGGGAAGGATTAAAAAAAAAACAGAAGTTCCACGTAACTGCTTTTTTTTCCTTCAAAATACCTTAGAAAGGAAATTTTCTTTGTATTTTTTTTTCAGTAATGAGGTTTGAACCCAGAAGCATTCTGTCTCTGAACTACATCCAAACTTTTAAAAAATTAAAAAAAAAATGTTTTTGGTACTAGGCATTCAACACAGGAGTGCTTTATCACTGAGATATATCCACAATTCTTTTTATTTTTTATTTTGAGATAGTTTTGCTAAGTTGTTGAAGGTGCTTTTAAGTTGCCAACGTTGGCCTTGTGATCCTCCTGCCTCAGTCTCCCAAATCGCCGTGATTACAGGCATGCATCACCATGCCTGGTTTGCTTTGCATTTTTCTTCTTCTTTTTTTGTTTCTTCTTTCTGTTTTTTTAACTTATGCTTTAAATTTTTGTACATATTGTAGGAGTCACCTACTTTTAATGATCTTGAATGACCCAACCAGTCATTGGGGCATTCTTTGTCCTACTTATGACTTTACTTGTAGTGTGACTATGTTTATTATAATCTCAAAGGAGAGGGAAAGAAAAAGAAAAAAAAACAATAAAAAATTATTCCAAGCATTCCAGTAACTTTTTTTTTTAGTTGTAGTAAGACACAATACCTTTATTTTATTTATTTATTTTTATGTGGTACTGAGGATCGAACCCAGGGCCTTGCACGTGCTAGGCAAGTGCTCTACTGCTGAGCCACAACCCCAGCCCACATTCCAGTAACTTTTTATGTGTGTGCTATTAGTAGATGATTTATATGAGATGGTTAAAAAAAAATCAAGATAAAAGGTTTATTTTATTCCTTTATTTTTTGTCTATGATGTTGCTGTTTACTTATTTATATGTTTGATCCATGTGTGAAACAATGATGTCCAACAGTAAAATGGAATCTTATTTTGTTGAGTTGTTCTAACAAAAAGTAAAACCAAGTTAAAGATGTGTCAGACTGCATAGGAAAAAAGCAGTGTATAGAGTTATTCTCCCAAAGCATCATTAATGGTTTTCCTTTATTGGTGGGATTAAAGACATCATTTGTGGGCTGGGGAAGTAGCTCAGTGGCAGAGCAATTGTCTAGCATGTGTGAGCCCCAGGGTTCCATTCTCAGCACTACAAAAACAAAACAAAAAACCCCAAAAAACAAAAACAATAAGACAAATGTTCATTTTCGCCTTTGTTCTAATTTCTAATTTTTCTATATTTAAATATGAATTTTTTGTGTAATCAAAAATAAATGAAAGCCAAGTGCATGCCAGTAATCCTAGAGACGGAAGACTAATGCAGGAGGATCTCAAGTTCAAGGCCAGTCTCAGCAACTTAATGAGGCTCTGTCTTAAAAAATAAAAAACATAAAGAGCTAGAGATGTAGCTCAGTGGTTAAGCACTTCTGGGTTCAATCCCCAGTACTGAAAAAAAAAAAAAGTGCAAAAATGTATGCAAAACCTCCTAGAGAGGTTCTTAGGTCAGGAAGGACCTGGGTGTCAAGGGATTTGTCATCTGTGTAGCTGGGGACAGCTCAGGTTCATCCCCATTGCCTGGATCATCTCAGTTCTTAGAAGAGATGGGCCAGCTGTTTTTAGAGCTAAGCCAGAAGGGAGGGCCTGAGAGTGAATAACAGGACAAATAAACACACACACTTTGTCTGTGGCAGCTGGAGGGAGAGAACCCAGAACTGAGAGGAGGGAGGAAAGGAATTGCAGGATGGTTGAACCTGCTTGACTAGTGGCTGGGAGAATAGAAATACCCTGGCTGTCTGGCAGACACATCTGTCTTGTTCAGTAGAGCAGGCACCCGAGAAGACAGTTGTATACAGGGAGAGAATATGTCCATGGCAGTGCCAGGTTAGGGCCCTTCTTGAGAATGTGTCCCAAGTGACTGAGTGAGGATTACAAGCCTCTCCTCTCATCTCATCTCTCTATCATTTCATTCCCAAAAGAACTTTAACAGACATCAGTCATAATCTCCCTGGGAGCCATGGAAGAGGTTATAGCACCAAGGAAATAGGCCTTTAGCATCAGCAAGCCCCTTAAGTCCCATGAAATGGGATTACCTTTCATGAAAATAAACAACAAAGTTGTGAATATATGGGCTGTGGGTGTAGCTCAGTGATAGAGTGTCTGCCTACCTAACATGTGGGAGCTCCTGGGTTTGGTTCCCAGCATCAGAAAAACAGAGAAGGAGAAAGAAAACGAGGGAGAAGGAGGAAGAAAGAAAAAGAGGGAAAAGAAGAAGGAGAAAGAAAGAGAGAGAGAGAGAGAGAGAGAGAGAAAGAAAGAAAGAAAGAAAAACTGTGTACATGTGAAATTTGGAGATGAAGCTGGGCATGGTGGCACATTCCTATAATCCCAGCGATTTGGGAAGCTGAGGCAGGAGACTCTCAAGTTCAAGGCCAACTTGGGCAACTTAGTAAGACCCTGTTATCAAATTTTAAAAAATAAAGGACTGGGGATATAGCTCAGTAATAGAGCACCCCTGGGTTCAATCCTTAGAACTGCAAAAACAAAACAAAACAAAATAATAGAACTCCAAGTACTGTAAAATAACCAGTTTCTTTTTAGGTGCTGGGGAATTGAACAAAGGGCCTCTTGCATGCTAAGCATGGGCTCTACCACTGAGCTACATTCCCCAGCACAATAACCAGTTTCTGGTCAGCAGTTTCCATTTTCAAACTTGGGGAGCAAGTGCTTTCCTTGCTCCCTCTCTTGTGTTGTCTGACCTGGCTGGGAACAAGCCAGCATTGGAGATCACCAACACGGGGTCTTCCTTCTTAGATGCTTATAGTCCTCCCATTTCACCCCCTCTTCCTGAATGGATAAAGAAAATTTGTTACTCATACATAATAGAATATTGTTCAGTCATAAAAAGGAGTGAGGTCCAGCAACTCCTCTCAGTCCCCTCTTGCCCTGCAGGAATTCTCTCTTCTCACTTGCATAAATATTACTCTTTTATGCTATTAAAAAACAAACAAACAAACAACAACAAACTTCATCATTTGCAGCATTCTCTTTTTTGGCGGGGGATGCTGGAGACTCAACTCAATCCAGGGGTTCTTTACCACTGAACTACATTCCCTAAACCTTTTTCTTTCCTTCTTTATTTTTTTTTATCCTTACTAAGCTGCCTAAGAATGTCACTAAATTGCTATAGCTGGTCTCAAACTTGGGATATTTCTGCCTCAGCCTACCCAGTCGCTAGGATTACAGGTGTGGGCTCCCACGGCTGGTTTACTTTTTGAAATTTTGATTAATACACACGCATTGCTGTAAAAAAAAGTTGTATTTGCTCCTGACTTAGAGGTGCTGTAAACGGGATTCTTGGAGGTGTGGCTCAGTGGTTAATCACTCCTAGGTTCAATCACTGGTGCCACAGGGGAAAGGGGTTAAAAAACAAAACAAAACAAAAAAAACAACCCGCAAGGGGCGACCACGAGAGAGGGGCACCCAACTGCAGAAGGGGAGTCTGGGAGCCAATCATTTCCTCAACAAAGGAACTGGTCCCGCTTGCGATCTAGTCAAGAAAAAAAATTCACGCGGAACCACGCAAGTACAAGCGAATAAACCGCAGCTGCCCCGCTGCCACACAACTTGGGCTGGGAGGGAGCCAGCAGAAAGTAGGGGTTTCGAAGAGCGGATCCCGCTAATCCCGGGTGGCACCGATGCGCTCGGTCTGGGCCCCCCAGGTTTGCACCATCCGGTCTGAGCCCCGCCAGGAGAGCCTCATTCATATAAAATCGGCAATCTGGAGGATCCCTCTTGGTCATGAGGGACGGCTGACGGCCAGCGCCAGAAACAACATTGGCCAGGCCTCCGCGAGGTCTCGGTTCTGAGTCCCACACCACGCGGGGACCGCAGACTCCGAGTTCACGTCGCTGCGCCGGATGTGCACAGGACCAGCCCCGGAGCTGCACCAGAGGTTGAGAGCGCCGGTGGGGGCGGGCACACGGCTCAGAACGACCGCGGATTGGCTATCCCTGCGATCCTGGCCGCGGATTGGTCTTCCGGAGCTCCCAGCTGCGGATTGGCCTCCCGGGCCACGTGGCCTACAGCAAGGCCTCTGCCAGCGCCTCCGGTGTGAGTGAGGGGTCCCGCGGGGTCCCGCCTAGGAGCCAGCCCCGGCGGCTCTCTGGTTCCGGAAACTGTCGGGAACTCTCAGGATCCGGCTTCTTACTCCTGTTCTTCCGTCAGCAGCGTCATCTGGGTCTTACTGGGTTTGTGCGGCGGCCGCTGGGACTCGGGAGCCAGCCACCATGAGCGTGGGTTTTATCGGCGCTGGCCAGCTGACCTGTGCCCTGGCGCGGGGCTTTACCGCCGCTGGTGAGCGCGTGGAGGCGGGAGGCGGATTCATTCCCGGGAGGACTCGGCTGGGAACCGCCCTTCATCCCACCAGCATGAATGAATGAATGAATGAATGCGGGAATTTGCGTATCATGGGGTCGATGAGACTGTTTTTAAGCGGCGAGTCATCTTATATCCATCCGGGTAAGGGATTAAGTTGGTGTCGGAGACTAGCACTGTGAGAGCAGCTGTGCGTTGTGATCTGATCCCAGGAAAAGCATGGCCACCGGGTGGACAATGATTCCGTTGAAAAGTCTTGTCTTCTGCAGGCATCTTGTCGGCTCACAAGATAATAGCCAGCTCCCCGGAAATGGACCTGCCGACGGTGTCTGTGCTCAGGGTAAGAGGGATGGAGGGCTGTGGGGAGGAGGGTGGAGACTCAGGAAAAGAATAACCTGAGATGAACTGAGTCAGGCTGCCCCTGAGCCTCTGGTCTTTGGGTTCCCAGGAACATCTCAATCCTTCCATCTTCTCTGGAGCAGCTTAGGGTAGTGGTGAAACTAGTGTTGAAGATTAAACAACCGAGAAGCACCGAGGCAGAAGAAAAAAGTTTTATTTGAGGGGTAGAAGAGAGAGAGAGAGAGACTCCTCCAGAGAGGAGGGGTTCTAAAGCTGGTGCCCCCTAGGAATTGGGGTGTCCTGCCAATTTTATACATTTTAGGTTTCCTTTCTGCTCATGCCCCTTCCTCCTCTTATCTTGCCTGTGAGATCAAAAGGTGCAGTGACCAAGGATCTGGAAAGGAGCTGCCCAAGGGACATCCATTAACCACTCCTTGCTGGGAAGAACAATCCCCTGTAGGCAGGTGACTTTGGCAGCTGGTTGGAGAAGGGGGTATTAGCATTTTATTTCCTTTTGAATCAGCTCCATCTTCCAGTTCATTAATTCGTTATCTACCCTGACTGTCCTTTTGTCCCAGTTTCAGTGGGAGCCCCTAGGCTGGAAGACTTGGGGTCAAATCCAGACCCTGAGTGCTAGAGGCAGGTGTTAGAAGATTAACTGAGGTAATTATACATGGGTGCATATATATACATATAGTAGGTGCCCAAGAAAGACTTATTTTTCTTTATCAATTAGTCCTGTGATCTTAAAGTAAGCAATGACTGTGAATCTCTCCTTCCTCATTTATAGTAGTCGCTTTGCTGCTGTCCTAAGACATGAATGAACATGTTAGCAAAGAACCTGGGGAATTAGAAGTTTCTCTCTCACAAAGCATAATAGCCTGTCTTCTTCCAAGACCTTGGCAGCATGGTAATGGATGGCTGAGGAGACAGGTGGCCGGCAGTGTCTGTGTGATGAGTGTCTTCTAGCCACCGCTGAACCACCACGTAGAGGCTGTGCAATCTGGTGAATCTGTGCAAAGTGGCTGGGGTTGGAATAGGACCTGACCCAGCTCTGCTCCCAATCCCTGGGACTAGATTTCACTTTTCCCGTTTGCCTGTGACACTTTTCACCATGGAGCATTCTCACCTGGCAAGGGGGTGCCTTGGATGCCAGAAGATTGGTGAGGTTGAGGGGACAGCCACTTCCTGGCTACCTTGGTGAAGCTTTGCATGTCCAACCCCTGTGCTTACTTGTCCAGTAGCAGAATGGAAAATTTTATGTCATTTGGGGTGGAATCCTGAGGGGACAGGGCAAGGAATTCAGGGCTGCAGCTGGCAGAGTGGGCTTAGCAGGGTTTCACTTCTCCTTGGGGGGCTTGGATTTAGCCAGGCTCCCCAGCACTATTAGCTTTGCTGTCTCCTCTTACAGAAGATGGGCGTGAACATAACCCGCAGCAACAAGGAGACCGTTAGGCACAGTGATGTCCTGTTCCTGGCTGTGAAGCCACACATCATCCCCTTTGTCCTGGATGAGATTGGGGCCAGTGTACAGGCCAGGCATATTGTGGTCTCCTGTGCAGCCGGTGTCACCATCAGCTCTGTGGAAAAGGTACCTGTCTCACTCCTGATGCCCTTTGTGTGAGGAAAGGGTGGCCTGGGAATGGCAACTGAAGGGTGGGTGCTGGTGGGAATTATGGCCCTCTGTCTTATTGCAGAAGCTGATGGCGTTCCAGCAGGCCCCCAAAGTGATTCGCTGCATGACCAACACACCTGTGGTGGTGCGGGAGGGTGCCACAGTATATGCCACTGGCACCCACGCCCTGGTGGAGGATGGGCAGCTCCTGGAGCAGCTCATGAGCAGTGTGGGCTTCTGCACTGAGGTGGAAGAGGACCTGATCGATGCCATCACGGGCCTCAGCGGCAGTGGACCTGCCTATGTGAGGCCCTATCTGCTCAGTCGACCTTCAGGGAACCTAGGCAGCTAAATGGGCTGGCAGGCAGTCTCAGGCTGGGGGACAGTGCCTACATCTTGGGCATGGTTGACTGATGAAGAAAGCTGACCACTGGAGCTAGTTCCAATCATCACAAAAAATAGACCCTGGGGAGGGCCTTGTCTGCTGCCCAGGGCTCAGTGAGTATCTCCACAGGCGTTCATGGCCCTGGATGCATTGGCGGATGGTGGGGTGAAGATGGGTGTGCCACGGCGACTCGCAGTTCGATTAGGAGCCCAGGCCTTACTGGTCAGTGTCTTTTTCCCTGCACATTTGGGACCAGGGTGTGCAACGGAGATTCTTATGGGTCACTGAGCTGGGGATGGGCTGGTTTGGAAGTTGGCATAGGGATTGGTCATGAATAGTGGGTGTGGGGAGGTCTGTCCCACCCTACACCAGCAGTTTCCTACCCTCATGCTCCTTCATGCTGTAGGGCGCTGCCAAGATGCTACTGGATTCAGAGGACCATCCAGGCCAGCTCAAGGACAATGTGTGCTCCCCTGGCGGGGCTACCATCCATGCCCTGCACTTCCTAGAGAGTGGGGGCTTCCGCTCTCTGCTTATCAATGCAGTTGAGGCTTCCTGTATCCGAACACGGTGGGTATGTCTTGTTGTCCTCTGCCCCAGGCGCTCCACTCCCAGTCTACCCTGGACAGGGCTGGGCTGGGCTGGACTGCATCTTGCAGTCCTTCTGTCTTAGGTCTCATCAGCAGTGCCAGAATGCACTTATTAGACCATGACTTTTAGACTTAGCCAAGTGTCTGCAGGCCTCACTTCACTTAATTCTTACCACAGTTTTGATAACTGGGATTAACTTTGATTTATAGATGGGAAAGTTTAAGATCAAACAGCTAATAAGTGATGGAGGCAGTATTCAGCTTCATCTCTGACTTTTTAAAAAATGTCTAGTTCTTTTTAGTTATGCATGACAGTAGAATGTATTTTGACGTATTATACATACATGGAATATAACTCCCCGTCTTGTGGTTTTGCATGTGGTTGTGCATGACTTGGGGTTTTACTCGTTATGTATTCATATATGAATACCTTTGATTCATTCTACTGTCTTTCCTATTTCCATCTCCCTTCCCTTCTTTGCCCTTTGTCTAATCCAATGAACTTCTATTGTTCCCTCACTCACCCCTTATTGTGTGTTAGCATCCCCATATCAGAGAGAAAATTCAGCCTTTGGTTTTTTGGAATTGGCTTATTTCATTTAGCATGATAGTCTCCAGTCATTTCTGACTCTCTTTTATTTTAATTTTTTTTAAGATGTTGATGGACCTTTATTTCATTCATTTATTTATATGTGGTGCTGAGAATCGAACTCAGTGTCTTACACATGCTAGGCAGGTGCTCTACTACTGAGCCACAACCATAGCCCCATCTGTGATTCTTAAGCCCTGTAATTTTTCACACTTTCTCCCTCCCCGTATGGTCATAGATACCACTGGAGTGCTATGTTTAGCTTGGATCAAATGAGGTAAATAAGACAAACCCCTACTTAGTTAAATACTAAGAGGCTGAGGGGAGCATTTGGTTTAGGGTTCTAATATTTGGTTTATCAAATTTCGGGTCTGAGGCTCTATGGATAGGGAAGATTTCATAAAGCTCTTGCTCTAAGATGTATTGCCTTCTTTCAACCCTTTTGGGATTTTGTCTGCAGAGAGCTGCAGTCCATGGCTGACAAAGAAAAGATCTCTCCGGCTGCCGTTAAGAAGACCCTCCTAGACAGAGTGAAGCTGGAGTCTTCCACAGTGTCCACACAAACCCCCTCCAGCCCAGGAAAGCTCCTGACAAGAAGCCCAGCCCTGGGAGGCAAGAAGGACTAAGGCATCATCTGCCTTCATCTCTGTGATCCCAGAGCTCTTGCCTGACGGGTCTTGACCCCTGTTCCCTCCTCCAGCTGCAGGAGGGGCCAGCTCAGGTGGTTTCAGTTCCCTCTGATAAACTCCTTAGACCTATTCAGACTAAGCTGCACTAGTTGCCTCTCCTGTGCCATGGGGGAAGATGCTCTGAGGGGTGGTGGTCAATGCTGGAAGCCAGACACATCCCTGTACACCTCTGCTCATAGAGTGGCTGATCCCTGAGTCAGTGCTTAGCTGAGGGGGAAGGTCTGGGGAAGACTTCAGTTGGTGTCCTTCTGGAGTTTGATATCAAGACAAAGAAGCAAGAAAAAAAAAAAACATGAAAGGCCCATCTGAATTGATACATGGAAAGGAAATGAGCAATTTAAAATTATTACAGTTAATCAGAAGTGTGTGGTATTAGGAGCTTGGGTGTAGTTCAGTGGTAGAGAATTTGACCAGAAATGGTGAGGCCCTGGGTTCCATCCCCAGCATCACAAAAAGAATTTTAAAAAAGAAGTGTGTAGTATTAGATAATGCTTATATTTAACTATAGCTTCATAGATGTGCCATTTAGAAAGTGTTATTCAGTGCTAAGTGCTTTAATAAAGTTTATTTTATATTATCCTGTTTTTCTTTTGCTTAGTCTTATTTTGTTCTAGAGAATGTGAGGCCATTACTAGATCCTGCCTGTACTGTCCAAGAGCAAGAGTTGCAGATGAGAAGTAATAAGGATCCGAGTATGATTACTCCAGCCCTGTTCCCAGGGTCAGGGACAAGATGTTGTGTCCTAGAATGGGCAAAGTTAATGGCAGAGAAGAACCAGTAGCCCAGGTGGGGTGTGGGCAACAGCCCCAGACACAAAGGAGAAAGCTGTGGGAGTTGTGGGTCAGGAGCCATGCTAAGCCTGTGATCCCTGCCACTGTCCTCTGAGGCAGGGACTCCTTTTCTTCACTTGATAGGAGATGCTGAGGCCTACAGGGGAGAAGCTCCTTACTCCTAGTTGTGCTGCTGGTCAACAGTGGGTCCTTTGTTCTTAGCCACTGACTAGTCTCCCAGAAGCTGGGGCTGGTTACACCATCTACACAACCAAACTGAGCCTGCAGCTAACAGCCTGTTGTCTGTGGCTCACATACTGAGCCCTGTGCAAGAGCTCCTAGGAACAAGCTTCCTTTTTTTGAAAAGGTGCAAACATTGGCAATTACCATCAGCTTGGAATTGCTCAGGAGGCTGAGACAAATTTGAGGCCAGCCTGGGCAACTCTGTGAGACCCTGACTCAAAAAGGTTAGGAATGTAGCTCAGTGGCAGAACACTTACCTAGCATGTACGAGGCCCTGGGTTTAGTTCACAGTGTGGCCAAAAAGAAAATAGGAAATGGCAATAACGTGTTGGGAAGGATGTGGAGTAATTAGAATCCTTGTCTATTGCTGTTAGGGTTGTGAAATGGTGTGGCCACTTTGGAAAGCTGTCTGACAGTTCCTCGCAATTAAACAGAGCTACCATAGAACCCATCAATTCCACTCTGAGGTATAAAACCAATAGAAATAAAAACATGTCTTGGGCTGGGGATGTGGCTCAAGTGGTAGCACGCATGCCTGGCATGCGCTGGGTGCTGGGTTCGATCCTCAGCATCACATAAAAAAAAAATAAAGATGTTGTGTCCACTGAAAACTGAAAAATAAATATTAAAAAATTCTCCTCTCTCTCTTTAAAAAAATGTCTTTACAGAAACTTGCACATGAATATTCATGGCAGCTTTATTAATAATAGCCCAAAGGGGTTGGAAGTGTCACTCAGTGGTAGAAAACTTTCTTAGCATGCATGAGGCCCTGGATTTGATCCCAGCACTAGGGGGGAAAATGCTAAAAGGTAGAAAAAGAAATCCAAGCATGGTGGCACACACCTATAATCTCAGCAACTCAAGAGGCTGAGGGGCAAGTTTGAAGTGAGTTTCAGCAACTTAGCAAGACTCTGTCTCAATAAAAAGGTCTGGGATGTGGTTCTAGGTTTAATCCCCAGTACAAAAAAAAAAAAAAAAAAAAAAATCTGTACAATGAAATGTCATTTGGCAATAGGAAGTACTGATACATGCTACATATAGAAACTCAAGAAAGGATGGGTGAAAGAAACCAGTTACAAAGGACAATTATACCTAATTCAAATACATTAATTAATTTTAAAAAATGACAATTACTGTATGATTCTACATACTGAGGTCCATATCTGATACCAAATTCTGTCCTCTGCACCTGGCCTGCTGGTAAGCTATCCAGGATGACAGAAGTTTGTCCCCTTCATCTTCCTTTCCTTCAGTCCCTGCAAGATCACCCACTTCCTTGGCTTAAATCTGCCAACATAGATTTACTGAGGACCTACTAAAGCCAGTTTATGTCTTGGCACATAGTGGGGAGTGGAAGTGTCCAAGCCAAATTTGACTGAAGTTGTCTGGTGCCCTGGTCCTTTTCCAGAGAGAGGTGAGAGAGCTTCATCCTTGGGAGAACCATTTTTGGTCTCCTCAGGACTTCAGTTCTGCCTGGAGGTGCTGACAAGCACCCAGGACTTCCCCTCCCAGCTGCACACCTCACATAGCTAATCCTAGTCAGGGTGGCAACTCTCTGAGGTGGTCAAGGGAGCCTACAATGTGTCAGGCCAGAGGTTCTATAGCTTATCTCAGTCCCACTAGAAACCTGAGCCACCAGGAACCCCCTGGATATCTCCTATGAGAGCTGGCACTGGGGCCTAACAGAGCCTTTCTGCTAAGTATGTGCTGAATGCTCCTCTGTGGTAAGTGCCCTGTGGGGCCAGGGTGTGGCCTAGTTGGTAAGACTGTCCCTACTGAAAGTTGCACAAGAACCAAAAACAGATGTGGACCCACAGGAGATGTGGCACCCGTGGGAAGGAGTGAAGGCAGCATGCAGAGGGCCAAGAGAGTAAGGAAGTGTTTTTGTCTTTTCACCCCATCTTGGTCACATGAGAATGGGCTCTGGGCCTGGAACATTTCCTTACCAAGACAGAGTGTTCACAGTTGTAGCTGGACTTGTTACCTTGTGTGGGAACACAATTCCTGTTTAAGCCTTATTGTGTATATTTCTTTAGTTAAGTATATGTATTGTATGACATATGGCCAACCCACTGCTATATCAGTTCCCTGAGATGAGGGAGCAGGGTCCTCCTGTGGCATAGAGGGATGAGTGCAGGCCAGGGGCCCTGGATGGCTGCTGGGAAGAAGTCTCTAGCCATGAGGGACCAATGCCCACCACCAAAACTGATTGTATCCTGTCTTATCCATGAGTAAAGCCAGGCCATGTTCTAGCCAGTGCTTGACTAGTTGTGTTTTCCTTGACAAATTCAAGAACAAGAGGCAGTGAGTAGAAATGCTAGGATTTCTGGGCTGGGATTGTGGCTCAGCGGTAGAACGCTTGCCTAGCACAGGCGGGACTGGGGATCGATTCTCAGCACCACATAAAAATAAAGGCATTGTGTTGTGTCCATCTACACCTAAAAAATAAATATTAAAAAAAGAAAAAAATAAATGCTAGGATTTCTATTCCTAATAACAGGTAGCAGATGCCACTTGCCCAACACTGACTGACCACCTGTTCCCTCCCTGCCCACTCTCTGTTCCCAGCTCTTTGATTCCTCTCAGGACTCCTAGGCAGGCAGGCCTAGAGCAGCCCTCATCCCTATTTCATGGTGGACTTCCTCTCAGAGCCCCAGAAAAACATTTCCTTATCCATTGTGTATTATATATTACAGGAGAGTATCCATTTTAATCTCCTGTATGCAGGGATAAAAACTTCTGCATCCATCTTTTACTGATAGCTCCTTTGGGACATGGGATTGAGGTTGACTTCTCACATGATTTTTTTTTTCATCTGATCTCATGACTTATTTATTTTATTTTAGATCATTTGTTGGTTATAATAAGCAGACATGAGAAGGTAGTTAAAAGATTGAACAATTTTTTCCATGGCTCTCTACTCTGTATACCATTCAGGAACACATACACACCTCCCTGCATCCCAACGTGTTTGTTACTAGGCAACGCTCTCCAGAGAGCTGCTGGAGAGTCTCCTGAGCCCAAGTGCCTGGCTGCACTTTCCCTTACTATTTCAGGCCTTTTTGTGTATCTAATCAAAAAACTAGCGAAGCCTTGACCTGTGCCCCACTTTTACCAATAAAATAGATAGAACATAGAAGTGGATTTTGTGAGGGCTGGGGTGTAGTTCAGTGGTAGAGCGCATGCTCAACAACATGTAGGAGGTCCTGGGTTCAATCCCCAGCACTGGGAGAAAACAATGGATATTGTGGCTGTTAAATTAGTAGCATTTTGAAGATGAAATGCACTTCATTTCAAGGTCCAAGGCAGTGTGGGTATTATACTACCTTATACAGGAAATGGGGGAAGGGGAGGCTGTAGGGTTTTGGCTCAGTGGTAGAGCACCTGCCTAGCACATGTGAGGCACTGGGTTCGATCCTCCGCACCACATAAAAATAAATAAAATATATTTAAAAAATGATGGGAAGTACAACATTGGATAAGAAAATTTTAGAAGGATACGTAATAAACCAATCAATAAAAAGGGGCTTCCTTCAGCAGGGTGCTGGTGTGGGGCTCAGGAATGGAACAATGGTATGTTGGGGCAGGACTGGAACAAGACTTTTCATTATATCTCTTTTGGTACTATATTGATTTTAGGAATCATATGAAGGTATTACCTGGTCACAAAATACATTTGGAACACCTGCCAGGCTGTCTCAGCATGAAAGCACTTCCCCTCCTGTCTTTCCCACCAGGGCTGGGGGTTTGGCTCAGTGGTGGAACACAATACTTTACTGAATAGTAGAGTTTTTGAGTTGACAAGAATCTGTCATCCATTGCATCCACTAGGATTCCCACAAAGATTCTAGGAGGTAAGGACAGGGGTTGGTATCCCCATATCACACATGAAGAGCCCAATGTGCTTTTCAAAGGTAACTGGGGAGCTAGCAACAAAACTTCATTGTCCAGATCCAAATCCTCTTTCCAATTTTCCCCCACTAAATTCACGACGAGTTCTCGAGGACAGCATAAAAATGCCACTTAGGCGACCAGCAGAAGTAGGAGGTAAGGTTAGATGGATCACTGCTGCCCAGCCCCGTGGATACCTGCTTCCTTGCGGCCACGGAGAAACTTTCTTGCCACTAGGGGGCGCCAGGCGCCAACCACTGAACCTGGCTGCCGCCACAAATTTCCAGAAGCCTGTGCCCTGGGAGAAAGATCAGACAGTTGGGCTAGGTGCCAAGGTCTGTCAGTGCTGGTCAGAGAGGTAAGCTCCTGAATGAATTATCTGCTTCCTGTCAGCAGCCTTTGCTGCTACCCTCCCAGTCTCCAGCAGGCAAAGCAGGAGGGCAACTTTCCTGACTGTCCACAGACCTGGGTCTGTTTTCCTGAGTACCTAGCTCAGGGACAAGAGCACCATCAAGTATCCATGGTGCCCAGAACTCTCATAGATTGTCTGACGCAATATACACCAGTCTTTTTCAGGAAGCAACTTTGAAAGTCAGATCACTTACTACCCTTGACCTTGAGTGAATTCCTGAGCCTCCAGGAACTTATCTGTAAATTGAGGGTGGGAACTTAT